CTTGAAATAACTAATAAATATTTACTTGCTGAAAAAAATGCAAGCCTTCGATGCTCAGGCAAAAAGACCTGTGACCTCAATGGGATTTGCCTGATTGAAGGGACAATATTATGTGTTTCTCAGGCATATATTTAAATTCTATACCATAATAAAGTATATATGTCACCTTCAGTTGTTGTTGAAATGTTGTTTATATGTTTGAATAGAAAATAAACTTGACTTCTCATCATATCTGTTTCTAAACACCTTGAAATTGGCCTCTGTCTCTATAAAACCTCCTTCTGCTTCTGTCTCGCCCATTTCAGCACGAGGTGGGTGTGTGTGCTCTGTGATGAGGAAGCTCCACTGTTGCCAACTTAGCGACTTTGTCACTAGATCTAGTGACTTTTAGACCCCTCTAGCGACTTTTTTTCCCAAATAGCAACTAGCGACAAATCTAGCGACTTTCCCCGGTGTTTTTAGACTTTTAGGAGCTTTGGCGACAGTATTTTCCAAGCACTTTTTTCCTTTCCTCCGCAAGCAGCGAGGGCGGAGGTGAGCCCCTCCCCCTTCCTAAAGCCGTCTGAGTTGCTGAAGCCTCGTGCAGCACCCCCCCCACACCCCTACCTAACCCCACCCCCGCCTGAAGTCAGCTGAGAGGAGGAGACCGCTGCAAATCATGCATGCGCAAAGCTGTCACTGCTTCTGTCTGGTTTACAAAGCGGGWTATAATATTTACTGTAATGTTTTTTTCTCTGATACTGTTTCTGTTAACTAAATCTCTGGACCCAGTTGTGTTTGACTCACAGATCAGTCACTTCACCTCTTCCTCCCTGTGTCTCGTGACATCGAACTGTCTGCAGATTAAATTTAAGATTCCCACAAATTTAATTTATGTGGATCTAAGCATTGAAGTCATAAAATTATTTTTATTTCATTAAGTTTAATTGCAGTTCTAAACATATTTGTTTTTATTCACCTTTTTTCTCTTCATCATCTCTCCTATATGTGGCAGTATGCCCTGTAGGCTTTGAATGCACCACACAAGTGCCTGCATCTAATTGGTTGTGGCGCTGGCTGCCTGTATATAAAGGGCCCTCCCTCTACCTGTGTGACATGGTTGCCTCCCGGTTCAGACTACTATGGTTGCGGGTGCTGCATGCTAGCCCCAGGCTAGTGGGTGCATGAAGGGTGCGTTTAACGACCCTTGATCCTTTTTTATGGTAAGGAGTGCTTCTACTTCCTGGGTGTTTTTGTTTGTAGCCTAGCTTTAACTTAGCTTCTGTTTCAATAGGCTACCAGAATGAGTCTACCTGATTCCTCCTCCTTTAGAGGAGCTACACTTTAGGCTCAGTGGTGAGTGCAATGTTTGTCTTTTCAGTTTTTTTAATTACACAAATTTAATTTCTTAATGTTTGTTCTGTACCAGATGCTGCTGTTTGTCCTTTGCCGGTGTTCTGCTGGAGGCCCAATTTGTTCACTTCCGGTTTCCTATCTATGCCGTGTGGTTCTTTGGCCGGCTAAATAACTGTTGCTGTGTTAGACCTTCATCGGCTCCTGCTGGTCGTCATTCTGCCCTGACTGGCTTAGTGACGCTCAGCTCAAGGTGATTCTGTGGGTTCCTCACGGCTGCTGGATGGAACATTAATTCACACCCAAAGTCTACTGCTGCTTGGCTACCTGCTACCGGACTGAGACATCTGAATCATTTTTATATATGTATTTTAACATCTTT